CTAAAACATTATATTTTGGCAAAACTAAATATCTTAATGTTAAAAACCAGAGAAATAAATAAATAACAACAACAAAACAATACCATGATTTTCAACAATATTTATGAAACAGTAATCAGGTGAAATTTAGTAAATGTTTTGTGTCACTAATAGAATGTTATTATATATAAACTAGTTATAATTATGCTCCAAAATATATGACAAAATTCATATTTAGCAGATATCTACAAACATTTACAGCCTCTCTCTACAGCCAGTACAATTGAGAATTTTGATGACATCTTTCTGCACTTCGGCATTCCGTCTAATCAAATTATCTCTAGAATCAGATGTGTTTCGCCCCCTACATTGTATTTTAAATCACTATAGAGGAGCTTGGACATTGCAAACAGCTCTTTATGATAACATATAATGCATTATAAATATATTAAAATTATTTTACAAATGTATTTCATATTTATTAACAGTATGCTGCTGTTGAACATGCTTTTATTCAGTTTCAAATCTTTTCAACAATGTCCCCCCATAACTATTCAAACATCAGCTCTGTGAAATGTTTTCTTAGTGTGAATGAATGTCGAGGTATCTTGACAACAACATGAAGTCAATATGAACCTTATTTAAATTTCCTTTCATAGAGAACCGGCTGTTTGACAAATAAACATTTGGGCAACCTGTTTGGAAACCTGTCATTTTTGCAATTCCATTTGTTGCCGCTAGCGGACATAACAACACATTTCAGATTTTGGCATAAGTGGCAGGCCTCTGTTCATCTAACTTTTCATAATCAGATTCTAGGTTCTGAGAAATAAAATAATGAAGATTTAGATTTCTAGAGTTAGATGCCTGGGCAGAATCTAACTGTCCTCTCAACCCAGAACCATCTTTAACGCTCCTCCGCCGATAGATTGGCAGGCGTGTGATTATAATCCTCACCCTGTCGTTTTAATATCTCCTCATTAAGTAGCCCTGTGGAGAGTGCTTGTTCTGTTCCAAAGATGTGTGGCTCTGCTCTTGACAGCAAAGCCATTAAAAGTAGCCAAAAAAAAACCTTTAGACGCAGCAGGCTCTTTTTATTGTATAGATTTATATATATTATTTATATTTATATATAGTGCAGACAGAATATTAAATTGTGAATGATGACTGAATGCTAAACTATCAGATTAGATTTTAGATTTGTAACTGTATTTAATATAATGAGTAACAGTTAACAATACAAATAACATTACAAAGCACACCTTGATATGCACGAGAAAACAGGATAATGCAGAAACTCTCAATGGGGAATTGGTTCAACACTGCAGCTGGAATTGCTTGCCAGTTCAGCAATGAACAGGGTAAGGATCTGTCTCGGCACGTTTAAGAGAAATCGGACTGAAAGCACACTCTGCAGTGACTAAGCCCTCTCATCAGCAGAAAGAATCAAAAGGCTAGACTAACCTTTGCTGAGGAGCATGTTGTGTGGATAGAGGAGAACTGGTCCAAAGTTCACTTTAGTGATGAGAGCAAGATTAATTTACTTCAGACCAATCAGAAACATTTTGTTCGGCATCAAACTGAGGAAAGAATGAAGCCCAAGTGTGTGAAGAAGTCAGTGAAAGGTGGAGGAGGAAGTGTCATGGTTTGGAGGATGTTTTCTGCAGCAGGAGTCGACCTCTTAGTCTTTTTAACCCATACGACTGAAGTTTACGTTGTTATCCACAGAGACGTTCATTAATGCCTCATTCAAGAACGAATCATCCTTTTTGAGTCAAATCCAGTTCACAAAACTGGTCTGAATGAATTTTACATAACTGAATAACTCAATGAACTAGCTGCAGCCGTTAACAGCGTAAAATTATTAGAGAATAATTTAAAAAAATGGAATTGTTCTTCGCACAAAGCTAATTGATGACTTTCGAAAACTCAGAATATAGAGCACAAGTCAAATTTACTTATATGGTTGCTGAATAGTGTTTTGAACCTATTTGGAAATGTGAAAGCTTCAGTCTCTATTCATTGTGACTGCATAAAGAGAGCGATCAGCACAACTCTCCAAAATTTAAATGAAATAAAGTCAAGTTTGGAACGCTGTGAGTGTGTGTAAATAATGATAGAATTTTAGTTTTGGGTAAACTACCGCTTTAAGTGGTTTGCAAGGAGAATAAACTGCCTTCTGCTGCCATTAGATTGACTGACAAGAAAATTAAAAGAGAAAAATAAAATGAAGGCAATAAAGAAATAAAGGGAAGAAGTGAAGGGAAGAAAAATCGTAACAACACAAGTATGATAAGCAGTTATAGTCGTTTCTTTGGCAAGGTGACATCAGGTACATCAGACACAGCAGGAGCACAAAAGCTGCACTGAAGACTGTATCTTTCACACAGGAGCTGTCAGGCTCTTTATGACCACACCGCGGGAGTCTACTGTAGCATGTCACATTGTCTCAATGAAGTGACAAATAAAACCGCACGCTGAGTCCCATTGTTAACTGTGCTGGATAAACAACCCTAACTGTGATGGCTGAAGTTGTGGTGCTTTTGTTTGGGAAGAGGCCTGTGCAGAACTGAAGGAGTGGGAAGGTAAAATGACTTAATGAAAGGCCTAAATGAAAACTGTCATCAAAGCATAGTTGTTAAAGCTGAAGGGTGCAGTTTCTGCAGAATTACAAAAATAATATCCATTTTCCTGAATACTCCCCACATCTTCCTTTGGTGGGACAAATGGATAGCTCAGTGTAGCCTGTATTGAATTTGTTCCACAACATATTAGCAAAGAAAAATATTTCTATTAAAGGGTTACTCCACCCCAAAATGAAAATTTTGTCATTAATCACTTACCCCCATGTCGTTCCAAACCCGTAAAAGCTCCATTCATCTTCAGAACACAATTTAAGATATTTTGGATGAAAACCGGGAGGCTTGTAACTGTCCCATTGACTGCCAAGTAAATTACACTGTCAAGGTCCAGAAAAGTATGAAAGACATCGTCAGAATAGTGCCTCCCCGCATCACCGTAGTGCCATTTTGGAGAATATCCTCTGAACGCAAACTGCGTATGCCATTCTGTGTCAGCCGCGACACAAGGATACGTTTTCTATGTGTATTTACTCTTTGATTTGAACGAAAACAGCACATCCATGCAGCGCGGCTGACACAGAAGAGCGTACGCTGCTTGCATTCAGCGGATATTCTCCAAAATGGCGCTACGGTGATACGGAGAGACACAGAGGAGACGAATTGTTGAATAAAGTCGTTATTTTTGTTTTCTTCGCGTACAAAAAGTATTCTCGTCGCTTCATAACATTACGGTTGAACCACTGATGGCAGATGGACTATTCTGACGATGTCTTTCATTCTTTTCTGGACCTTGACAGTGTAATTTACTTGGCAGTCAATGGGACAGCCTCCCGGTTTTCATCCAAAATATTTTAAATTGTGTTCCGAAGATGAACGGGTTTGGAACGACATGTGGGTAAGTGATTAATGACAAAATTTTAATTTTGGGGTGGAGCATCCCTTTAAGTTGATCTTGTCTGCATGCAAAAACAACAGTGACTAGTGTAGAGTCAAAAACCAATGATTCTGATGAGTCAGTTCTTGTGAGTGAATGAAATGCATAAAGTGTGTGTAACTGTTTGTCTCAAAGATTTTGTTTTCTTGCAGCAAAATATAGTATCTGCTTTCATTTTTTTTGCAGTTAGACATATTCTTGATTAGATTCCCTCATAAATAGCAAGAGAAAAAGCTAAATGAAGTGCCATGCACTAGATAATTAGCTCAATTTACTTATAATTTCACACACAGCGCAAAATGAAATGTCCACAAAAATACCTTTGGCTTGAAATGTGACATTACGACCCTTCATACTTCAAAACGCCCACTCTCCTGCCACTTACAATTACTACAGCAAGAAACATGGCATGACAGGGACCTCCTTGAAAACATTTCTTCGCTAATCTTCAGTAGCAGTGGGATGCTAAAATCCTGTCGCCTCTTAAATAGGCTTTATGAGAGAGTAAATGCGTCTAGTTTAGCTTATAAAACATTTAACAGTGTAAGGTAAGGGGGACAGCCCTCACTCATTATTTATAGGAAGACAAAAATGACTCAGAGGGGGGAAAAAAATCTCACTCATTTGCTTTACAGGATGCTGAAAATATATACAGCAAAACTCCACAATAACCCTCATGACCACATGCAAATTAAAAACAAGCTAATTTATCATGCACCGGTCGAGCACTGTTGATGAGGCCCTTCATTTCTCTCCAAGCACTTTTGGGAATTAAAAAAGCAAGGCTTATAAATAGGTTGAGTGGAATATTCATATGAACTTGCTGATCTTCAGGCTAGCATTAGTAAGAACATACTTCAATTACATGTAAAATGTCACAGTAAAAATTAATAAAAAAATAATTAAATAAATAAAGTAAACCTCTCAGAAGGATTATACTTTGATTGCATGCTACATACACTCTTAAAAATAAAGGTGCTTCACGATGCCAT